CATTAATTAACTGAAAAATGTTGCATAGTGTCCCTTTAATCCATTTTTTCGCAAATCCTCAAAATACAAATAACACAGAAAATCTAATTCTTTTGTTGAAGTAAATAATCCAATTGATTCAAAAATTATAAGACATTGATACTGCAATGGAAGTTAAACTTAAAGCACCAAATATTGTACAGTGGGTTAGTCACATGGCGTCATTTTCTCCATTTATTATTATTGTGTATTTAAGCCTACTTAGTCCTTTTGATAGTGAGCTAATATACACTTAGAATCCTGACTAGGTCTATTTAAGACAATTTTTTTCAGCTCCAACCAAATTTACTTTTTGTGTTGCCAACCCCTGAATTAACAGGACAGAAAAAACAATAGAACATACCCTTTCCTCCAGTTTCTATGGAGAAAGAAATGTATTTATGTGTGCAGCAGCTGTCTCAAAGTTGGACGTAAAGATACTCACTCTGAGCTAGACAAACCAGGATCGTAACCAAGCATCACATTTTATATGTTGTTTTCTACATTAAATGTGGAAAAAAAAGTAGAAAATAAAAAAAAAAAGTAGCAGAGGGAGCTGCTGCGAATTGGCAGAGAGAAGTTGAAAAGTTTTTCTCAGCTTTGTTGCTTATGGAAGAAAAACAGTTTAATTGGAATCTGTTTTTTTTTTTTTTTGTACCCCGAATTTTAGACAGATTTTTTTTTTTGCACCGAATTTTAAACACTGGATTTTTTTTACACATTGACTTCCTCACACTGAATTTTTATCTGGTGAAAATTCAGCTGCAAAAAAAGTAGTTGCAAATGTGTGGACCTTTTGGTAGTGTAGATTGCTTTGGCTTGAGTTCACCAATAGGTCAACAAATTTGCAGTCGAATCTTTTGCAGGCAAATTTTTAACATAAAAATTCAGTGTAAGGAATTCAATGAATAAAAAAATTCAGTGCAAAAAAATTCAGTGTATATAATATATGAAAAAAGGCAGATTCCAATTCTTCCATGTTTTATTAAAAAGCACCATTCATTGAAACAAACAAAATTTCACCTTCTTCACTGATGTGTGTGTTTAATGTCTTACATGGCTGAAATGTCGATGAGTTTAAAATGCGCCTCACAACCAAGTTGAGTGGCAGCCTCCCTGAACTCCTCCATTATCTGGATCAGTCCCAAATCCAGGTTGAATTCTGCAGGGAAGGTCACAATCCAGTACCTACATGTGCATGTGTACAACGACAGGTTTGTAGCAATGAGCAGATGCTGGAAAAACAATGAACCATAACTATGATGAAGTGTTACATGATAGAGAGGCTCTAGATATGAGTTATTCTAAAATACTGTGTTAGTCTCTGGATTAGTTTAACGGGAATACAGATGTTTAGACTGAAAGAATGTCATGAAAAAAAGCGCGTGCTGTCTCATTTTTGATGCTGGTAAAAATTTAGTTCAGACGCACGGCTGAATCCTCTTTGCTGCGCGGCGTAACATGGGGTCTGATGCGCGTTGGGTGGAGCTAGCCTATCCTTCCTTTGTCTGTAACAATGGCAGCTATATTTGCTGTGATCAGTGGGTAAAAAGTAATTTGAATCTATTTTCAAGTGAGTAATTCCACCTGGAAGCATCATCTGTGCAGTCAGTTCATCCACATTACCAATCTGCCTTCAAATATTATTTCGCTGCCGGAGCCGCTCAGGCCCCCACATACAGGCGTTGCGCTGTCACTGGGAATCCCCAGCAGCAGCTGACTCAGGCCCAGTCGCCTCTTTGTGGTTTTCCACTATTGTTGGTGGCGGCTGGAGGTAGAAGTTAGCGTTTTTCATGTATGTAATCCAAACTGAAGGCACCAGAATAATAAAATCAAACATATTTTGCCGGTAGGTTTTGCCATTGTAAGTTATTTTAGGTGTTAATAAACCACTTCAGAGGATTGATCATAGCGCTCTGCATCAGCAGCTCTGTGTCTGTCTCCCTGCCAGCTCCCAGATCAGCTTCTCTGATTGGTTGATGTGGTGTGTTCAGCAGCAAAAGTTAAAGCTTTCCAACCTTAGCAGCTGCTGCTTCTGAAGCATGTCGCGTGCGTCAGATGTTCAGCTCATGATGCAATGCTCTTGCTGCACAAAACTCGCTGCTGCCTCTGCTGCTTGCGGTGTGAATGTAGCCTTAGTCTTGTCCTTATAGTGATATTGCACACAACAAGCTTGGTGTTAAAATGCCGGGTTTCCATTGTATGTGTAAGCAGTAATTATGCTATATCAGTGTACCTGTATGCTTTAGATAGAACAATAAATCAGAAAAAGTGGTTATTTAGCCAGTACTAACCATGGCTTGCTTGGCTGCTCATTATGGAATAAAACCTTACCTTGTTTTCCTTCAGTCTATCATGGATAAATGAAGTTCAATATTTCATTTTATGGGTATGTTCTGTAATTCAATCCCCATATTTATAATGGTTGTTGAGTAAATTTGGTTTTCCATAAACATCCAGAAAATGCAATCCACAGTCTGCACATATACTCTCTTACATTTAATCTCAACTTCATTTTAATTTAGATTAATTGACCTCCTGCCTGAATGATCCACTCGGTTCTAGACTGATGTCGAATTGATTCGACAATCATCAATGGAACAGCTGCAGGGCACATCTGGAAGGGTTCAGAAACACATGGCTATGCAATGGGTAGAACCTCTCTGACTTACTAGAGATGGTGCAATATGGTGCTAATGCTATGTTCACAACGCACGCGCTTTGAGCAGAATAAGCAGTTTTACATGCAAAGTCTACGGCTGATGCGCATTAAGCCGCATCAAAAGGTGCAGAGTGTCTAGAGAGGCAGCGCATCTTGACGCAACCGAGCAGCTGGAGAAGCGCCTCATGAGCTTCTGAGCATCTGAGGTGCGTGACACGCTTCCCAAGCAGCGGTGCTGGAGTTGGAAAATTTGAACTTCTGCTGCCGGATGCACCACATCATGTAATTATCTTGCATTTTTAGGCTGGGTTTGTTCCTTGTTGTTCTCTTCTGCTTTGCTCTGCCCTCTGCTCATTAGCTCTTATCTCATCCGCCTGTTTTTGCTACTATTTAAGCCTCTGGACCCCAACTTTTGGATTATTCAAGCTTCTCAGCAAGACTAAATCTAGGGTTCCATTTGTTTAGTTCTGCCGGTTCCTGATCTGTTTCTGCCCTTGCACTACTGAGTTTTTGACTGCCCCTGTTTGCCAGTTCTGTGTTGTCTGGACTGTTACCTGGATTCCACCTGCTGCTGACCGAGGACCTGCCTTCTGACAATGGCTTGAATTAACCTCTTGGATCATTCGGCCCCCATGCATTCTCTGGCTGCCGAAGGACGCTGCTCCTCTTCTGTCCTGGACCTCAGGTGCTGGCTCAGTAAAAAGCAATGAAGTTCGACTTCTCTGGACAACGCTCCTTCTTCTGGGCACAGACTGAACTTGGCCAGGTTGGTGGCTTTCATGCTCATTATTATCCATTGTTTGAGTTGTGAAGTCACTGACTTGAGCCCCTACCCCTGCTGAGTGTCCGGTGAGGCCTCCGGAGCAGTCGAGGAGTCTAGCACTACTTCTGTCTGTCTCGCCTGAATTCTGGGTTCTATTTTCTGAGCCTTCTGACACATCAACTAATCAGAAAAGCTGATCTGGGAGCTGGCAGGGAGTCAGACACAGCGCTGCTGATGCAGAGCGCTATGATCACTCCTCTGAAACAGTTTATTAAAGCCTAAATTAACCTAAAATGTTGAAACCTGCCGACAAAATATGTTCACTTTCATTTTCCTGGTGCCTGCAGTTTGTACCATAGGCCTGAAAAACGCTAACATCTACTTCCAGCCGCCACCAACAGTAGGGGAAAACCCTCAAGAGGTGACCAGGCCTGAGGCAGCTGCTGCTGGGGACAGTTACAGCGCACCGCCGGTATGTGGGGGTCTGAGCGGCTCCCACAGAGAAATAATGTTTAAAGGCAGGATCATAATCTGGATGAACTGACTGCACTAACGATGTTTTCAGGTGGACTTTCTTACTTTAAAATATATTCAAACTACTTTTTACCCCCTTATCAAAGCAAATATAGCATATGGCGCTCTCTGCCATTGAACACAGGAGCAGCATAAGCATCTGGCACATCTGGATACATTACTGGACGTCTGACCTTAATGTGGAAAAACATAAAAAATGAAGCAGCAGATGCTTTTTAGCAGCGGAAATCAAGCTTGGTGTAAATGAATATAGGGCACAGCACAGGTGCTCCTCTGTACTTCTGCAACACATATTGAGTGAAATCAACAGGAAATTAAGTCCGCCATCTCTGAGGGGGAGAGTAAACCCTTTTTGTGGACTTTATGTGTTCTTTTCCATGCCCCATTCCCAGTGGCGCCACCAGGGGATGGCCAGGGGTGGCCACCGTTACCCTGTGCAATGCCCTGGCCGCCCCACTGGCCAGTGTTAATTGTAGTAGCATCCGTTTAGCATTTCATCCCATTATGCACAACCAGTGTCGTAACATTAAAAATCACACAATAAAGTAGGTGAGTAGGTGTTTATTAAAGTCTTTGTGATTTCTACTGGCAGGTTTACCACAATAGTTGATTCAAACCCTGAAATTATGGCTTTTAGTTTCAATGTGCCACCCCAAGATTTTTAGTAGCCCCATTTGCCCCCCCCCCCATGAAACATTTCTGGAGGCGCCACTGCCCATTCCTAAGAGGGACCAGATGGTGAGGCAATCCATGAAAACAGAAAAAAGGAGCAGAGGGTCCATATGCTATATGACAGCAATGAAGCCCATGGATAACTGTGGAATAGAACCCACTGGGTTAATGTGACCCCTTTTCAGGCTTTAGTGAACTTTATTGTTGGTATTTCTTGAAAGTACTTACTAACTACTTTCTAGGAAAGTAGGTAGTTGAAAGTAAACAGAACTAGGGAGCGAGGGGAGGACATGGGTCAGCGGTCACCAGGCCAGGACTTGATCCTGTTATGGGTCACCTGTTTAATCCCTGCACCAACACTGTGCATCCATTTTAAAAATGCATGCAGGGTATATAAGAAACAGAGGCGAGATACTGTAAAAACACGTCCAGTGCTTGTGTGACACCCAAAAACACTGGAAGAGGTAAACAGGAAAAAGATGTCCGAAAAAGTGTGGGAAAGTAATGGGATTGATGCGACCCCTTTAAGGCCATGGAGTTGTAAACTGGAAAGAGATGCGAGAAAAGTGTGCAGGGTTGGTGCAACTCCTCTATGACTGCAGCAAGGGTAAAGAGGTAAGGGACGCGATAACAACATGGTGGAGTTAGTGCAACTGTGGCAGGGCTAAAATTTCATGCAATTTATCAGTAAAACCATGAGAAATTATTTAAACCCAAGTTTAGACATAGAAAAGAAGCAATATTTAGCAGGTTTAGAAATAGAAAGGTGTACAGCCTAAATAAAGTTGTGCCAGTAAAGACAGAATGTGTGTTTGGTTCTTTACCTCATCAAATAGCAAATCTTTAGCCTGGTCGTCTTGCAGTCGTCATCTTTACAGTCACGGTACGTAGACTTTGGTTAAGGACTTTCAATTAAAAACAGATCTTCTAAAAAAAAACTTATTATGGAGATGTTACAGGCTGATATGATTAAAGGGTTGACAAAGATGGAATCTCATTAGAGCCAAGGATATAGACCAGGGGTGGATTATTCCAGTTCCCAAGGGCCGATGTCCTGCAACTTTTAGATTCACATTTACTACAGCACACCAGAATCAACGGCTAAGTTACCTCCCCGGTGTGCAGTCAGTAGCCGTGTCTGAACCATTGCCCTTATCAATATATAGGGCACTATATAGGGGTTACGCCATTTTTAATGAGTGTCTGAATGTGTAATGGGAAAAAGTAGTGGATGAAAATTTTTCCACAATGAATCTTGAAAAGTAGTGATCATCCATGTTCACTAGACAAGCAGTTATATCCCCAAATGCTTTGCAAGGAGAGCTGTCCTTGCAAAGCTTCGTCAAATTAATTGTATTTGTGACAGACAGTGCAGGCACCATGCCGAGAGGTGGAGCTACATGATGAACCGAGAGTGAAAAGTAGTGATCATCTGTCTGACCGGTCAGTTAACACAGTTTGCTATAGTCCACCGTATACAATGGAATTTTTTAAAATCTAAATGTCTTTTTTTTTGTTGAAATAATTGCATTCTTGAATTGAGGATATAAGTGGGACACTTTGCCAATGGAACAAGACGATTTACAATTAAATGTTAGGAATCCAGTGTGTGGCCTGTTTTTGTTTCCTTTTTTTACCACCAGGAGGTGCGCACTCTTTGCTGTCCCTCCCTGCACACCTGCGCTTCATTGGACATTTATCTGGAGGAGTATTTGAGCAGTGGACTGTCACTACCTCGACACCAGAGTGTTTGTCAGTTTGGGGTACTCTAGCCAAGCTGAGTTTAGCCGAGTCTAATCTAGCTTCGTTTCTCTGAGTCTAACTTGTTTCTGTCTTTGCTCCTCATCAGGAAGCCTTCCTGTGTAACTGGATACCTGGACCTTCTCTCCCCTGGAAGGAAAAACCGAGTCACACTGAGCAGGGGAAAACCTCCACATGTTCTGTTCAAGTTCCCATCGGAGATCCGAGTGACAGTCCGCTCCATTACTCCTCCGGGTCCTACGTAGTCTAACTTGTCCGCCCTCCAAAGTGTGCTAAAATTACCCTGGATTCACCACACAGTCTGGATTCAAGGACTAACAAGGCCCCCCTCAAACGTGAGTTCCAAACCATGCTAAATATCTGAGCTACCAAGTTTCCCACTAAACCTGAACTTACCATTGTACTTCCCTTCTCACTTCCAGTTCCGAGTCACCAGCTTACTGAGTTCCAGATCCATACCCTTTACTCCTTCAATAAACCTGTTAAACCTTTTCCGTGCTCTCTGAGTGGTTTCTCTGAGTGGTAGAGCGGTCATTCGGACACAGTCAGTTCCTCCAGAGTCATCTCAATCAAAGGCACATCTAAAAGTTGCAGGATACCCGCCCTCACGAACTGGAATTGCCCCTGATATAGACCATTTTCAATGTGCAATAAGAACTCTATGAACAAAGGTCTACTCTAAGATCTCTTCTGTCCATCTCTACGGAAAGAGAAAAGCAGGTGGATAACTGCACTAGAGATAAAATCACTACATAGAACAGCATTATGGAGACACGTTACAGCAGCGATGGGATATATCATCAGTAGTTTTCCTGCAAGCTCAGCCGATGTAACATACCAGCGATGCATTAGGAGCAGTGTACGTGGAAGCAGGTTACCATGGAGCTGACCGTCATCATCTGTGAAAGAAAAAGAGGCTCAATAGAAGGAATATTAAACAAAATGTCTGTCTTGAAGGAGCTTTGTTACGTACTTTGACTATATGACTTTCTACACGCATAGCTAACTCTAATTGCATAGAAAGGCTTTCTGATTACATGTTCATGGCGTTACTATTTTCTAATTTTTTGTGTTTAACACTTTGTTTTTGCTCTGTTACTTTGAGTAGTTATACATTATATATTTAAAGTAACAGCCGAAAGTAAGGGGGTATGATATTTAACATTCAGTTCAATTCAGTTTATTTCTATTGCGCCAATTCCCAACACATGTCATTTCAACGCATTTTACAGATGTGGACTTACAAACCAAGCATGCTTGTAGCAACAGTGGAGAGATGTGGGGGTAGATGTGGTTGGACTCTGACTATAGTATACATATATATATATATATATATATATATATATATATATATATATATATATATATATATATATATATATATATATATATATAAACTCTCTTCCACACCCACTCAACATGGGCACTTTCCCTTTTTTCCTCCAAGTGTGTGCAGTATCTTTGCTGTTCCTAGAACTGCACTTTTCTGGAGAGCTTGAGGGTTGTGCGCAGTAAATGGTAAAAATGGTAAATGGCCTGTACTTATATAGTGCTGTTTCAAGTCAGGAGACTTGACCAAAGCGCTTTACACTACATTCAGTCATTCACCCATTCACGCACACTCACACACTGATGGTGACCAGCCACATTGTAGCCACAATGAGCCTGGGGCTCACTGACAGAAGTGGGGCTGCCCTACACTGGCGCCACCAGGCCCTCTGACCACCATCAGTAGACAATGCAGGTGAAGTGTCTTGCCCAAGGACCCAACGGTACTGAAAGTCGGAGCCAGGGCTTGAACTGTCAATCCTTCGATTTCAGGGCAAACTCTTACATCTGACACCACTGTCGCACGCAGTTTGCTGTTCCTAGAACTGCACTTTTCTGGACCGAGATGTCTGATGTATTTCCAGGGATCTGCTGTAACCACTCCTCAAGTTTGGGGGTCACTGCCCCGAGTGCCCCTGGTGAAGAGGCGACGTCACCTACGAAAGCAGTGGAGAAAGGCTGATGCAGAGGAGAGGGAGGGCCTTAAGTCATTATGGGAGGAGGTTAGGAATAGCCTTAGAGGCCTACGGGGAGCAGAGCGCAGACCCCGAAGATGAAGGAGAGGAGCAGCTGTTTTAGGAATCCTTTGAGACTTGCAGCTGCTAGAGGATAAGACTAGCAGCAAGCTGGAGATCACACAATAACAGCTGGAAAGTTACTTCTAGGAACACAACAGAGACCCATCAAAACAAACTCCGCTAGGACCACCAGGCTATATTCCATGCCCAGATGCTCCATGCTACCTCTTTGACACTGCTCTGCCCAAGTTCATCAAAGTAGAAGAGATTGTGCACAAAGCAAGAGTAGCCTCAGCCCCCAATGGGATACTGTACAAGCTGGTGGTGGGCAGAGTCCAGAAGGGTCGAGCAGGGTTGGGGAAAAGTCAGACCCCTCTCTTTTAATCGAAGGCCTCAAAAGAACAGCAGAGAGCCATGGTGGTGACAGAAGTGGCCAAGGCAAGACAGGATCGTCTCCATGTCAAGGAGGTGTCACAGAGCAGACAGTGAGGCTGGTTGTCATGGGAAGGCTTCTCAGACAGGCCCATGTCATGGTGTGAGCTGTGTCCCCCAAGCCAGGTTTGGTTTCTTGATCAGAGACACCCATGACACCCTACCCTGTCCACGAAACCCCCACCAATGATTTGGTAATGAAGAGAGCTGCTCATTTTGTAACAACATCAGCACATTCTGTCTGGTTGTAAGATTTCAATCTCTCAAGGTCAGTACAGGTAGAGACACGACTTTGTGTTGAGTAAGCTGGCAGAGGCGGCAGAGGCAGTGATGCCGCCCATCCTCTTCACAAGAGCCTGGGACAACCCCAAAGCTGCCAACCGCACATTACCATCAAGCCTACTCTCACCTAGGGGTGAGTGGTCGACGAGGGTCAACCTGGCGAGACAACTTCAGTTTCCCAAGGTAGATAGTGGAGACATCATTGCGGCCAGGCCTGATCTTGTCGTCAGTTCCATGCAAGACCATCCCCTTGGTGGAGCTCACTGTTCCGTGGGAACAGGACATGGAGGCTGCCAATAAGCGCCAAATATTGAGACTAGGCAGCTGAGTGCAGAGAGGCTGGCTGGAAAGCCCTCACATGCCCCACTGAGGTGGGCTGTAGGAGATTTGTTGGGACCTTAATGGTCCAGCTGCTGTGCAAACTCGGATGCTCTGGAGCTGGACATTGCAAATCAATCAGGGAATTGGCAGAGGAGGCAGAAAAGTATAGGTTCTGGTTGTTGCTAAAGCGGAGAGAAAGGGGGTATGGGCCTAACGCCTAGGGCATCAGCAAGGGGTGACAGGGAGATATCCCACCAAGAGATGTCCTTGGGTCAAAGGAGCGAAACATCCATGAAGGGTGCTCCTCAGCTCATGACCCGCTCAAGCCCAGGGGTGTACAAGGCACACTTTTTCAAGTTACTGGTGGGGGTGCGTCAGGGAGCAATGCCCAGCAGGTAGGACATCACCCTTTATTTTTAGTTATGTCTGTGTTTGGGCAGATCTTTAAGCTGGAAGCATCCTATGAAGACCGGTAACGATATATCTTAAAGAAAGAGTGCTTTTAATTGATGTGTGAAGGATATAAGTTGAGAGTTAATATTGGTAGTACTACAAAAAAAAGAGTTGGAAGAGCAAAGAAAAGAGCAGAGGAGATGAAAACTTCAGCACATTCAACTAACATTGGCAAATTTAGACATTTATCATTGTCTTCCAGAATGTTTTGGGTGCACTCTGATATAAAATTTGTTAATGATGCCTGTTAATAGTCAGGTCCACTTTTCCCCCATCTAACTCCCCCATGGTCACACAGGCTATATTTTGGGGTTTTGCCCCTTTCCCTATCTCTATCAAATAAATGCATCTCTGTTTCATGGATCATTTCTGTAAGTGAGACAGCAGAGAAAACCAAGACTGGGTGTTTATTTTCTTAATAATTCTTAATGGACAACTACTGTGGACTTTTTTTGAATTATTTAAATTGCTTTGATTCACACTAGTATGTAACTTTCAGTACATCACACATTGTTTTTCCTTTTATAATGTACCATAACATAACAATTATCACCTCAGCAGTGTCTTAGGTGAGTTTGAAATCCTAAGGCTTTTCACAACTGATTAGTCTTGATGTCATCACGCATCACTTAGGGAAGGTTAGGGTCTGTTTGAAGGCAAAAGCATAGATCCGGAACTCTAATCTACTGAAGGAAAATGGGTTAACCCCAGGTGAGCTAAAATGAAAATCTGGTTACTGACCAAGGACAATATGTTTCTGCACTAAAAGTTTTTCTCTTCTGTGCTTAGCAGGAGTCTAACACATTAAAAATGTCTTTTCTTTTTGTTCAAATAATGTTCAGAGAAAACAAAAAGCATTTTTCCTTTTTTCTAAAGAGCAGAGAGTTGAAATTCTTTTTTTTTTTTTTTTTACATGAAATCCATTCACAGAAAGTAGACCTAGTGGGGAGACTTAGGCTGTTTCTGAATGTTTGCCATAACCCCTAAATCCTTCCCTCGCTATATAGAGCAGGTACTATATAGTGGACTTTATAGTGAACTCAAACTGACTGTTTGGACAGTTGCTCACTACTTTTGCTCCCCGTTGGGGACATTAAGCCGGGCATACACAGTACGATATTTTCAACCGTTGTGCTCAGCAATAGCTTAAACTGTACAATGTATTTTCTTCCTCTGTACGGCCCAACGCTCTGATGTGATCTAGCTAATCACACTGTATGTCCAAAAACGACACATTGGACTCAGCGCCAAGAGATGGTGCTGGTGGGACTTGTCAATCTGGAAGAAAAAAGAACTTCGTTATTTCCACATGCGCAGTGCTCGAGGTTCTGGTAAATCGGCTCGTAGCTTTGCTTCAACAGCAGGATTCACCCACTTACACCTCAGAAGGGCCGACTGAATTTCAAACATTTGATTTTCTCACGATTCCTGATCAGGAGAGGTGGTTGTAAGAGGCAAAATGCCGCTCGTTACCCCCTGTATACTACATGACGCATGATAAAGGCTGATTTATACTTCAAAACTAGGTCGTCTGCATAGGTGTCACAGTGAATGCAGAGATGTCCCCGCTCCCTCCACAGACACTCTGTTGCACCTCTCCCAACTTGTAGGTGATCGCAGACAGTGCCGCAGACAGGAGGCCTCTGATTAGTCAAATTTACATCCGCTCTACACTATGCGTATCTCCTGTTTGGTACCTTACCAGCTTGATTTGCTTGTATGACCGCGATTACGGATAACTACTCGTGAAGTTGAACCAGCTAGAGGAGTGAGGTACGTGAGAATGCTGGGACCCTTTTTTCCACCTGGATAACAGCTCTTTTTCGCCTTCATCTGCCTCCGTTATCAGACAAACTTGCCCACATTTCCTCACCGTATCGGCCATACCTAGACCCACAGCGAGTTTGTGATTTCCCCCTGTTGCGTTGTGGCGTGGAATGAACATAGCGCAGACTACGCTTCAATATTGAGCATAAATAAAAAATGTCTGCCTCATATGACAAGCTTACTGCGACACACTGCTGTGGGAGTATAACCAGCCCTTAAGGCTGAATCTCAGCCCGATCCTAGAAATTCTCGCACAATTGGAGAATCAGCCCGAAAAGGGTAAAAACTCTTACAGTGTATGCCCCGCATAAGAGATTGGTTAAGCCCCTGTCACACCTTGACGAGTTAGACCAGCGTATGTCTGACGTATGAAAAATCTGGCAAAAACAGTGGAATACGTTGGATAAGTTATGGGTAGGTTTTGTATAAGTTTATGAGCATGCTGAAGCATGCTGAATCACGCGGGGACATGTCGACATACGATATCCCAACGTATTCCAGTATACACCATAAATGGGCCATAGGTTCCAGGTAAATTATCTGATTGTTGACATATTTTAAGTGTAAGTTACTCATAAGTCCTGGCGTCTGGCCTATCCAAAACCTACGAGCAACTTGCGCATAACTTATGCATAACTTATCAAGAACTTATCTCCAATGCATGTCAACACATCTGACGTGTTCCAGACGAGCGCTGAACGTGTTTCTAACTTTCAGCTACTGTATAATGGCGTATCGGCAGCATTTTGGTATAATAGGAGGTTCACAGGAGGAAATTATCAGTTTTGCTCCAGACTTCATCCCCTTTATAGGTTGAACGGAGAAGGTGAGGGGGATGGATCCTCTCTGCGTTTACACCCATGACCAACAAACTTCTTAACAGACATGGCACGGATTCTGTTGCGACTGCAAGCCTTCTTTCTTTCTTTTCCTTTTTCCTTTTTATTTATTCATTTTGTGGGGGGCGGGCGGTAAACAGCTAGGTTAACACCCTGATCAAAGAAATCTTTTTATATAGACCTGGCCCCCTACGGGTGCATTGCACAAAATAAAAATACATAGAAAGTTCAGCATCTGCCAGCATTTTAGGAGATTCTGGGACGTCGGGCATACAGTATGCTGGCTAAATCGGCAAGGTGTGACAGGGCCCTTAGTGTTGGTTTTGTACTTTGCAGTTCATATAAATCTTTCACCAATTGCTGCAACAACTTGTTATGCACCCTGAGTGTCAAAGTGGCGCTCCAGGAGGAAAACCTACGACAGACTAGAGTTGCTGTGGTCAGCTGCAGAGCCATATCTGCACCACATCCTGTGGAACAGAGGGGTCAGTCAAGAACATCTAGCAAAGGCGTGAAAATTAGGGTAAGTCCTGGATCATGTTAAAAAATAACAAAAAAACTCTATGGTGTAAGACACAAAACTAAAGCTCAGAATACAATATGAACATTGGCAATTACTGAAACAGGAGCTAAAGCTTTGGAAGCTGCCAAGTTGATGGATGAGTAAGTTGCCTACTGCCAGCAGACAGCAGCGTGTGCACAACGTTATTTTCTGCTGATTTCAACCGGAGGCATAATTGCTTTCTTTGTTCCAAAAATTCAGTTCAGTAAACACTATCTGGCCATGTAAATAAAGTCAGCCTGTTGTTATAACAAATCCAAATTCAGTTCAGATTTTAAACTTGGAAACACGTTACATTAACGGCCCATAATGAAGAGTCAATTATTCACAGGTATGACAAGGTCCTGTGTTACTCACCAAATGTATGAATGCATTCAATTAGCAGTGCATCAAGTGAAGCTGCCTTGCCCAGAGTGGATGATCCCATACTTCCACAACAGTGGCAACGCAGAGGTCAGTTCTCTCTGGCTTTCAGGACTGTGGTGACAGCAAACAGCACATGGACAGTAGATCCCAAACCTGAGGGAAAAAGTAGATCACAACATCAAGATGAATAAAGAAAATACTTAATAGCCTGTTTGGATTCACAATACTTAAAATGTCATAAATAATACAATGAATGTAAAATAAAAAAGTTCATCCAGACTGCTGTCAAAATCCTGAATTTTTTTCTTCAGCCAGCTTTCTTTTATCTGTTTTCCGTTTGGTGAAGAAAGTACACCTGAACTAGTGCTGTGTTTGTTAGTTTCCACTTAATCCTCAGCCAGTCATGGCCAATAGCTGCTGATGTTCAAATGATTTGGACTTTCCTCATGTTTGCATGGAGTGTATTTTGTTTTCATTATCTTAGCAAGTAAAGAATATATTTTGTGAATAGTAGTTTGAACAAAACATTAAATCCAAAAAGGCATCATAAAAAAGCATTTCAAGAGTAACCTTGCTCTTTTCTGATATTTAATCTGTATAAATATATTTTTTAATTTTATTCTGGTGAAGATTCTCATTGCTCAGTAGAGACTGACACGGGAGTGGATTTTCACTCCTGTCCCGTCCCACTCCCACAGAAAAAAATGGTGTCCCGTCCCGTCCCGCCAGAGTAGAAATCTAAATCCTGTCCCGTCCCACTCCTGGTGAAATTACTCCCACTCCCATCCCTCTCCCATTCAGAATGACTCCCGCTCCTGCTCCACTCCCATTCTTGTTTTTGAGCGCGGGTGAAAAACTCAGAGCGGAAGCACTGTTGGTTTTTGGGTCGTGTAGTTTTTTTGACTCACATTATAGTGTAGGCTTTAAGGAAAAAAACTAAAAAATATACTGGATTTTTTTTTTTTCCTATTTTATTTTATTTTATTTTTTGGCATCAATCCTAGTTTTTTTTAGTTACTATTGGTTTGCTCCCGCTCCCGTCTGCTCCGGTTAATGTTTAATCCTGTACCGTCCCAATCACGTGATCGTTACTAATACTGACTCCCATCCCACGGGAATCCCACGGGAATCCCGTGACCCGTGGAATTCCCGAAAAAATTTCAGTCTCTAGTGCTCAGTAAAGCAGTGGGTACCCCTGCTGCCTTGCAGCAAAAAGGTTCAGGGTTCGATTACCGGCCTTTCTGGATGGAATTTGCATTTTCTCCCTGCGTGCGTTGGTTCTCTCCGGGTACTCCGGCTTCCTCCCACAGTCCAAAAACATGACAGTTAGGTTAAATGGATTCTATAAATTGTCCTTAGGTGTGAGTGTCTGTGTGAATGGTTGTTTATCATGTTTGTCTCTGTGTTGCCCTGCCTCTCGCCCGTAGACAGATGGAAATAGGCACCAGCACCCCCGCGACCCCAGTAGGAATAAGCGTGTCGGAAAATGGATGGAAGATTATCAGTCAACCAGGTCAAAGTCATTCAAAAAAAGTAAAAAATAAAAAAATACAAACCGATAGACTTTGTTTCCCAAGTTTGAAGAAAACATCTCACCTGTTCAGCAAGGCCAGCAATGACCCTAACGACTCCCTTTTTCAGAGACATGGGCCAGTAACGGATTTTGCAGGCAAACAACAACATCTATGACTCCCGATTACTAAGGGGTGGAACGGGTGTTTTTTTTTTTGCTTCAATTTGTATGTTTTCTAAACCATAACAAGGCTTTTATTTGGGCTACTCTATAAGCCTGGAACTCAAATGCTACTCAAGACATTCTGAGTTGAGAAAGCTTCTTAGATGGGAAGCAAAACATCTTCAATCTTGGGGAAACAAAGTTTTTTTTTTGGAATTAAACTTTTATTCTTTAAAACTTTTTTCATAGATTTTATGTAATTAAACTTTTTCAAAATTCTCCTTTTCAGATTGAGTTTTCCAAATGGAAATCTCCTCTCTATTTTACAGACCATATTCACTTTAAGCCCAGTAGAAATTACTGCTCTTGATGCCCCCATATTTTCAATTATATCAAGCACATAATTAAATATTTAAAAACATATTCTAAATAATTAATGTATAATTGTGCCACTTAAGGTAGCTGCACATTGGCGTAGTTCTGCCAGCTTGACCGATATTCCTTTTTAAAATAACTTCCTCCATTTGTATATCAGTTTCTTTTTCTGATGTTTTTGGGCTCTGATGTTCAATGCTATGAAACTGGAAGTACTTTTATTGATATTTAATCCTTGTTGGACACTTGTTATTATGTGTAACCATGGCAACAATAGCAAGTTGGGAGCAGCTCTTTAACATCTGGCAAGATTAAGACCAAGGAGAAGAAAGAGGAGCTATTTACTTCACAGATAATAAACCATTTTTTGGTTTATTATTTGGGATGCTTCCCAATGCTTCCCAAATAATAAACTATGGATCACAAGTGATCTGAATTAACTGCTTTACAAGAAAACAAACTTTAGGAAAGAAGACACAGGATTTATGAGGAGTATACAGAAGGACCCCTCCTTGAACTGCCCTCTTAACAGGATGCAGAGGTCTCAGAGCCTCTATGATCACAAAGGCTTTGTTTAGGGCTTAAATGCATTGGGTGGGTAGCGTATTCTTATGCTACATTCACACCGCATGGGATTTCAGCACCAAAAAAGTGACTGCAGCTTCATATTTGATGTTTGTACACATAAAGGTCCGACTTGCTGCTTGTCTAGTAAAGTGTCCAGATG